CAAGAAGAAATAGTATTTAGTAGGAAAACAGACTAGAGATGGAAAAGTAGATCATTCTAGCTAGTCCCATCAATTAGGAGGTTTATCTTACCGAATATTTTTTCATTATTTTATCCATTTAGAGCAAATAATTCAAATTCAAGTAATGTAATGATGAGAAGGATATAATACTAGAATATAAAGACTGCCAAAGAGGATTGCCACAGTTCTCCTGAAATCTGTTTCATACATTCATTACTTTTATTTTTAATTTCATTTCTTGGGTTCATTCTGTTCCCTATCTTCCCTAAATTCATCCCTTAAATCATAGCATTTATTACAGACCAAATGGTTTTCTTCCTCAGTATTTATATTCTTCAAGGTTTATTCAATGTTATTGCAAAGTCTTACAATAGCATTATAATTATTAGAGTTGAAATCTGTTCTATTGATAGTGTTGAGGTTCATTCAAGTTTACCTTTTTTTTTTTTTTTAACTTAACTAAACTAAAAGGAATTAATTTTCCATAAGATCCTAACAGAAATTTATAAAACCATTTTGATGCCACTTGTACTGCAAGCCGTGGAAGCTATAAGTACATCCAAAAAAAGGGTGGTAACCTTTGGCTACGTACATACATATGTACATACATACATACAACTTCTAGATTTTTTTTAAATTTTATTTTTTTACAATGGCTGAAGTAATTATAATTTCGTAACTTATGCAAGAAGAAAGAAGACTCTTGAAATTCCCCAAAATAGAAGTTTCCCAGGTCACTGTGTCTGATACACTCCTCTACATTTACACTAAGTAGAAAGTGAAAATCTGTCAAGCCTCCTGAGCAGGTCCATACACCCACTGCATCTTCACTCTCCGGCTGCGCCTTTGTGGCTGTTCAGTCAACAGTGTTCATGTTTAGAATCTTTCAGGCAATTAGGAGTCTTGCCCAGGGTGAAATACTTTCTGGTAATATGAATGGATTTTTGCTGTAAGTAGTATATGTTGTATTTCAAACTGATTCTGTGATTCTGTGAAGATGAAAATGAGGTTGGAAGTAAGGAGACATTTTACCAAAACTGCCAAGTGCTCCTTCCTAGATGTATTTTTTCCTAATGAAGAAGTTGCATTTCTGATGTCTGAAAGCTGAGTGACAGTGGATGGAAAGCATATTGAGCATGAAAAACTTTAGTTGTTAAATTCTGGCTATGCTTAATTTGCTAGAGATTAATTACATATTTGATTACATACAGAAATATGTGAAATGTCTTCCCTGAAATATGACTATTATCATCATCATACTAATATGTTATATATTAACTCATGCTACAGAAGAGCAGATTTTCCCTACCAAAGTTAAATTTTGGAATTCTTGTTCAATAGGATTCATATTCTGATTTTCAGGAGGCAATGTTTAGGTCAAGTTCAGTTCTTTTACATTGCCAGAGGTAGTGAGGTGTTATAACCATGCTGAAACCATAGCTAATTAATTACTTCCTCTGCTAAATATATGGTTGGTTTTCATCTCTATTAACAGGTGTATCAGGTAGGCTTGATATATGTAATGAAATCTGGTATTTTTGCCAGTTGTTCTATTCAGTTCCAAATAACACACTGTCATAATTCCTATTACATAAAATATTACATAAGTAAATAACTATATAGTTATGTGCTACAAATACTTCATTACTGACACAGAGAAAGGATTTCCTGTAGAACAGATGGCCCTTGTAGTGTTAACCAAACTGTTCGTCTAAACCAGCATTGTCTGGACCCTAATACCCTGAGGCAAGGGTCCGACCCAGTTGTGGAGAGGCACCATGCAATCATGACAGATGGCCATGTGTTGAGGCAGCCCAAAGACCATCCATATGTACCAAGGGTGGTTGTCGAGAGCTCAGGCTCACAGTGGAGATTAGTCAGTAGGCTTATGGGTCTCCTACTATGAGCAACATTAGCGTAAAACAAATGAAGGCACATGAGAACTTAAATCTAATAGAAGGAAGAAAGCAATATTTTCTCAGCCTTTCACCCATGTTTCATTGGGTAGATGAAAAGGGAGCAGAAATTTGTTTCATTAACTTCAGTCAGTCTGCAATGAGTGGAATGACTAACAATAAATACCTGAAATGATACATTCCCAGTTTTGAAAAGCAAAAATGAAAATGCACTAGTATTCCAAGTGGTTGGAACATGCCTACCGTGTTTAGTGTTTCTTAGCTATTTTATATATAAATCTGAATACAATTTTAACTAAACCTTAGGTTTTAATACTGAAGGATAAGAAATATAGTTTAAATAGCAAGGACTTTTCTCATCAAGATATTTATTAAGACTCATTCTGTGTTAGGAATATGGTTTGATCAGCTGGATATGCTCTTGATATGGAACTGGAGTCTCACCTTCAAAAGATGATTTTTTATCCAGTTTATGGTTGCTTTCCACATTTGCAAAGAGTTTTGCTCTTCTTTTTAAACAGGCAGAGCATAGTTTTGACAGATACATACATGTATGTTGACAGATTTCAGAGAGATAAATAATAATAATAATAAAAAGTAGAATATCAAAACATAGTAGGGATTGAATTGATCTAATGAGAAACAGGTTTGCAATGAGGAAAATAAGAGAGCTGGAAAACATACGATGGAAAGGAATTCACACATTTAAAATTGAACAGGTTGAAGCCTAAAAAGTAGCTGCTGTTAGCATTACTTTTAAAGTTTAACATAAAATATTAAAGGAAGCACAGGTGCATCTCTCATTCATTTCTTTTTTGACTGCCATCCTGAACAGGAGTTCAGTGCCACTGCTTCCTCTGGGGACCATTCCTAGAGCTCGGAATCTTCAGATTAGGGAACTAATTAAATGCATTTAATGATTAGGGAATTAAATGCAGTCCCTTCTACCCTGACATGCCCCAGCAGTAAAGCGAGGGTATCAGTAAGGGTTACAGGAGCCTATTTGCCTTATATTTCAAGCAGCTCTGATCTTTAAAAAGAATCAGGAAAAAAAAAAAAAAAAAAAAAAAAAAAAAAAAAGAGCTTGTGATTTAGAGCTGCTTTGCACAATGATTGCCTGGTTTGCTATTTTATGTATAGCTACAATGGGCCTGTTTCTATTTTTACAAACTCTCCATTTACCCAGCTATATTGCCACTGAAATCCAGGATGTCACACCAGTGTAAAAACAATGTGAGAAAGGAGAATTTGATCATGTGATTTTTTTTTCAGTCATTTAGTAATAATTAATGTTTACAATTAATTTAATTTGATTTTTTTTTCATAGTATATAGATAAAAATGGCTTTCCTTTATTTAAAAAGGCCTGATAACTCCGCAGTGCTATCTGTTCTTGAATTCTGGTGTTTACACCTCTGAACTGGCCACATAGCTACCAGCATGTGTATTTAAAAGAAAGTGGAATGTATCTGCAGCTGAAAAAACAAAATGATGACTTGATCTGGATAGGATTAATACAAAGCAATACTGAAAGCTTGAAATTTCTGTTCAAGCAGACAGGTGTATAATGTATTTGATTTACCAGATCCATGTCCAGTGTGCCTGTATGGAGAACCCTGGAAATATAACAGGGATGAAATGTCTCTCTTGAAGGATGGAAAATTTTTGTGTGAGGTGTGAAGAAGCAGTAGGGGGGTTGGAATTAGATAATCTGTAAGGTTCCCTTCCAACCCAAATCATTCTATGAATCACTTAGGTTGGAAAAGACCTTCAAGCTCATTGAGTCCAACCATAGCCTCACCTACTGAGTCCCATAACCAAACCATTTCCCTTAGTGCCATGCCCCCAAGTCTCTTAAATACCTTCAGGGGTGGGGACTCCACCACTTCCCTGTGCAATGCTTTACCTCCCTTTCTATGAAGAAATTCTTCCTAATACCCAATCTAACCCTCCCCTGGTGCAACTTGAGACTGTTTCTTTGTGTCCCGTTGCTTCTTACCTGAAAAAAGAGACCAACATCCTCCTTTCTTCAATCTCCTTTCAGGTAGTTGCAGAGAGTGATGGGGTCTCCCCTCAACCTCCTTTACAAATACCTTACAAAACAAAAGAATGAACTTACTGACAAGATGATCTTTTAATTATTACAAGTTAATATGATTGTTTATATATTATTTATTTTTACATCTATGTATATACACACTGACCCTTTTTAAAGTCTATGGGTGTCACAGAACTACTGCTTCTTTTACCTTTTAGTGTCAAAGTAATGCTACAAGTATACATTTATGTAGCAGCTTTATCCCAGGACCTCACAGAATTTCTCACAACATTTCTCTAAGGGAAATAGAAATCAGCATCCCAAAAAGGAGAGTAAAGATCCAAGGTCACACAGACTGTGCCTAAGCTGAGTGATGGGGGTGCTCTATTGGCACCTGCATAAATACTTCCATCCAATCACCCAGACTGGAAATTGACCATAGCTTCCTTCTAAGTCCATGCACCTGTTTTTTCCTTGCTCTTACCCTTGATGTGGCACTGAATTGAATCGGAACATCCACACAACACCAAAGATTAGGAATTACTCCTGGGCCCAGAATAGACACAATCGTGAAAATCAGGGTTAGGTCTAAGAATCAAGAGTTCAATTCTTCGTTCTAATTTCTTGACTGTGTATTTTCCACAGGCTGCTGGTTTTGCAATGGAAAATTTGTAGTGATAGGTCTTGAATACTCCTCCATTTAAGGCAACAGTAATTTTACCACTGATAGCAGTTAAGATGAGGTTCAGACACATAAATGGAGGACAAGATTGCATTTATATACCCACAGTGCTGTTACAGTTGCCAAAATATTGCTTGTCACAACCCTTAGAAACAAATGGAAAAATGAGCTGACTGCTGCCTTAGGTTATAAGACCTTTCATTTTTTTAGCAGAGTGCTAGAAATATCAAACAGCCCAAAATAGGAAAACTTGTCCCAAGAACAGCACTACATATGAACAAAACTTAGTATTTGTTTTTTGCAAAGTTAACTAAGAAAATAAACAGTGTTTTACTTACATTTAGATAACATGCGTAGCACCTGAGCAGCAAGCTGCTGAAAAGACCCTGACTGCAGAAAATGAGAAACTGAAGAAAGGTCAAGGAAGGCAAACCACAGCAAGGTAGTAGCCAAAATTTTTAAGATGTGCTTTGAAGACATTTAAGAAGCCCCTACATTTAACTACTTCTTTTAATACTTTCTTCTATCTTAGAAAGGAAGCTGAGCAATGTAATAAGATATGGAAGAAGAAATGCCAGACTCTACAAAACAGGTTTAGTATTATAACTTTATAACTTCACTGATGACATTTATAAAATATTTATGGCCTATAGATTTTGCAAATTATATTCATGAAAATTAAAGTAGTTGAGTACATTGTTCAGTTGCCTCGTCATTAGCATCTGAGGATATAATAGGTAAATTTAAAATTTGAAATTAAATAATAAGTGGAATAATTTTGTTCACCTGCTCGTAACAACCATAAACACTTCAGACAGGTAATTTTGTATGATTTTATACTCAATGTTTTTTAGAAACTGAAATAGTGTTCATGCTGTTAGACCACATATTTCTTTAAGGCCCTTATCTGGCAGGCTTGAATGAGATTTTAAGCTGTTAATACTTAGGTTCATTACCCAATTTGTTTCTCTGTCTTCTTTCCTAATGCTCCATTTTTCCAGCAACCTTTTTCATCTCCTTTGTTTCATACTTCAGCATTTTCTGTCACTACCTTTTCTCTGTCCCAGAATCACAGTGCTTTCATCTGTTTTTTCATGCAGTTCCAGTTCTCTTTAAAGCATACACTTTTACTCAGATAGTCTTCTCCTCTGCTCTGTCCAGCCTCTCTAGAATCTTCATCTTCCTTCTTTGCACTCTGAAGAATTTGGGCTGAAGCACGCTGATTTGTTGAAACTCACAAATTTTCTCGTCGTCAAATGTAATGAACTTCCAGCCAGTGAACAATAAGGGTCCCATGGAGGTCTGCTCAGTCACAAAGACCTGCTGAGAACTGTGCTTCTGGGTCACACAGCTCCAGCATAACTGCTCACAACATAGCCTCCTGATTTGCTATGAAGCTATGACTGAGGTTGAAAACCTTGGAAAAATTATGAATTCCCTTAGCCTAAAGCTGGTTCTAATATAAATCCTGTTAATTGGAAAAGCCTTATGGTGCTTCTAGGGTAGGTAACACTTGAACAGCCAGATGTGCTACAACTACATGTACATCTATCCTGACAAAGAATTTTTAATGGTGCAGATGCCCACTTGGCCCTCCTTGGATTTTTAGTTCCCACTCAGCCTCAGTCTATGTCTATTGATTCACTCTTGCTTGGATTAAAGAAACCAGTTCCTCAAAATAAAACCCTAAAGCAGTTCTGGTGCTAGTTTGTTTCCTATAGGCAGTACAGATTAGATGGCGCTAGGTTTGGCTCGCTCGGCACTGTGCAGTCCTCTGCTTCTATCTCTAGAATCCTTGAGTTTGCAAATACACCAGCAGTTTTTAAATAACATCAGGCTGCATCTCAGAATATGTAATACATGTGTTTGACACCATTTTCGTAGGCCATGACATAGCTTGGTGCTATTTTAGGTAGAAAACTACAGATTATCAAAAATCCACAGTAATGTCCCATGGGACCAATATGGACCCATATGAATGTAACAAGTCCTCTCTGGAGGGCACTAGTACTGATCAGTATGGTCAACAAGTTGTGTGGCATCTTTCTGGGCTATGGTTTTCTCCAGCCAGAAAAATATTTGAGTAGCATGTATCCAATGAATTGGCACCCACTCAGGATCTTTAGTCTCTGAAGAAACAAACAGGATTTACTAGGACTGAACTCCACAGTACTTGGGGTGGAAAACCTCAGTAATCTCAGTTCCAGCAACGGGTTGTCAGAGCTTTCAGAGTCCCTACTGAGAACGCAGGAACTGGAATCTGAAAGCTTTGGGATAAGATGTGGAAACTGCAGGGTTTGTAGCCAAAAGTAGTTTGTGTGTGTTGCCTAGTGTGGCAGAATATGAGAGCCCTAGCAGATGCTGGATGACCTTAAGATGTTCTTGGTGATATCTTTGCTACTATTCTAGGGATGAATCAGGCAAACTTTAATTTCAATTTTAGAGAGTCCAGAAGGAATCTATCTGACCTTATAAACATTGTATTTATTCTTTCCGAGTTTTTTTGTTTTTTTTCCCCTAGAATTTCATGTTTGTATCAAATTGAGCTGGACTGATACCATATTTTAGAATATAAAATTTTGCCTCCAACTGCATTTTCTACTGTATGGACAGTTCTTTTGTAGTGTTTTTGGTTTGTTTGTTTATCTCCACAACACTGCACAAAGGTGTGAAAATACAGTAATTCCTGTCCTACAAATAGTGAATAGTGAATAATGAAGGTACATCCATTGCACATCAAACTATTGTACTTTTTGCTCATGAAGTTTGATACAATACCCTTAAGGTTGGTGGAGAGTTTCTTGTTAATTATTCATTGAATTAGGCCCCAAGTTATTCTCTCATTTGAAAATTGTGAGAATACATTATGTTGATATAACGATAACATAATGAGAGTGTTATCAGTGTTCTTAATAATAATGCAAGTCTCTGTAGAAAAACAAATTTCTATTATTGTTATCTACTCAGGTCTATCTTAATGGGTATTTACTGTGTTACCTGAATAGGTCGGTGCTAGAGGATTTTTTAACAGAGACCATTAAAATTACTTGCTTAAATAAGAGGTGAATTTGTCATTTTATATATAGCTAATTGTTGTAGTATCATAGAAAGAGAATAATTCTGATAAAAGGTTAATTACTGGTGAGATATAAACAGTCTATAGGAACATCTTTATTTTTGCTTATTTTTTTCTGATGTTTTACTAAATAAATGCAAATTATTTTCTCATGAATTTAGGTTTACATAGCCATAAATTATAATTTTATTATACTTATATTTTAAATTTTTAAATAAAAAATATGTGAGCCCTCTTGTGGCCAGAATAACTTCTATGTGTTTTATGAATATCATCAATGCCAGTGCACCCTGATGCATGAAGAATTTCTAGAGAACACTGAATGTAAATATGTTTAATTGGTCTTTTTAATGTCACTTCTCTTTCATTTTTCTTAACAATTATATCCATTTAAGTTTTCCTTTACTTCTTTCAAGTATACTACTTGTAGCTGAAATGCCCATGAAGTTCTGCTTTTGTAACCAGACACAAACATGGCACAGAACTCCAGACTTATTGATATCTTTATGCATTCTGGTATAGTTGCTGTGAAAGGTACTAGTTAATGTAAAAATGTAGTAGTTTTTGTTGTTGTTGTTTTGATGACACAGGATTTTTTACTTTAAAATCTTTATAAATGTCAAAGATTTGAGTCATATAAGACCAAATATGACTATCATGTCAAGTCATCTTCTGGTTATTACTTAACTGAAGATGAACTTTCTGTGGTTATTTTGAGACAGAAGAGAATGTATTTTGCTAGTTGCAATTTCAAGACATATACCAGGGAAAATAATCCAAACCATCCAAACTAAATACCGTTACTTAAGAAAAATCTTTATCAACCAATACTTTTTTTTTTTTTTTGAGGGGAGGGGGTTACCTTAATTAAAAAGGTTTGTTTCAGTAGTTTAATACCTTTCTTTGTAAAGAAAGAGGAAAAAAAATTACAGCTGTTCAAATTACCTCATGAGCTGGACCTTGAGAAATTAGGTAGCAATTTTCATTGATTAGATAAAGTATCAGTACTCTGTGGTTAAAGTTTTAGTAAATTTACAGACAGGAAAAGGACAGTAGTTTAAATTCAAAGTGTGCATTCTATCCCTCCATAGATTTTTCCACTGCATACCTTCTGTTACTTTACACATACATTTAATTTAATATACTTAATGCAATATATTAATGGTATTTTAATGTGTCCCATGGATTACTGAATACTTATGGGTTATTTGTTCTAATTTTACTCATCAGTAGTGTTTGCTTAATTATTTCTCCTAAAGCCTGAAAAAGATACAAAAATAAATTTTCTCTAACTGGTTATTTTGAACTTGTGCTAGAGAGTATTGTTTACTATTACTTAACCTACTTCTGTATCATGGTGTTTGTGGGTCTTGTATAACATTATTTATTTATGACAGCATGTTAAAAAATGCAAACTATTGACATGTTATTTGTATTTTTCTGTTTTAATCTGTTTTTTTGTATTGTGTTTTTTTCTGCTATTTTATGTTTAACGCAATTTTTTCAGTAACATGAAAGCAGATTAAAAGAGTGTATTTGTCAATTCTTTCTCTGTCAAACTGTATGTTTTTTTCCTTAGAAAAGTAATATACATTCATACATCAAAAGAGATGCCATATTCATAAACATACTTAGTTTCCATCGTTAAAATACATTTTATCATTGCATCCTTAGTATAAAATACCAAGAGACTCTTTACAAAGAATCTGTGTAGAATGACCAGGTATGAAGATTTAATACTTGACACCCTATAGAAATCATATATGCAGGATGTACACAAGAGTCTTAAACCATATGTCAAAGAAAAGCCAAAGGTTAGTGCATTTAGTAAAGAGAGTTAAAGTCAAACTTAACACTCATTATTAGTGAAATCAATTATCTCATTTTCAAAATCTGAGGGAATACAAAATTTTATTTGGGTACGGCAGTGGGTAGTAATTTGTAGATTGTTCGATTTCTTTAAATAAGAGGAACTGAGCTGCAGGGTTTTTTTGATCAGTTGAAATTTATGAAATAAAAGTTGAACTTTAGGCTGTGCAAGATATGGACAGCTTTCTGATTCTGAAGTTATTTTAAATGGAAGCCTCTCCTAGGACAAGCCACTGCTTGTGAAAGTGCTCTGAAATTAAATTCAGATGATGAACAGTCGTACAAGGTGGCTTGAGGCTATCCTCCATCTACATTTATTATATAACTGCTATCCTCCATTTATATTTAAGAATCTCTTTTATTTCCAGCTCTGGAGTCAATATTAATCAAATTTCCACATCATTATAGTTATTTTGTTACTTTAAAAGTTCAATTTTAATATGTTTTTAATTTTATGTATTGTAATTCTTAAGAATGACAACATAATATAAGCTCATTTCATGTTAAATCTTTTCAGCCTGCATGCAATTAAGGATGAGATGTTTCTTAGACAGACCCTGCAACGCCAGTTAATAGCACTTAAATGTACATCTTTTGGTGAAACAGTAAGTAGAGACACAGCAACTTGGTTATTTTATTTAATGCTGGGTTTTTATCGCTAGTTGTTCTGACCTTTCTAATAAAACAAGACATAAAAGCTAGCCGATACCATAACGTCAAACATATTTGATAGTGAAAATAGTAAATGGCAAAGCTGGATACACTCAGCTGCCTGCAGTAGAATCTTGTGTGCATAATTTATGTGTACAAATAATATGTAAATTGTACCTTTACTGGAATACACCATTAGGTTAACATAACATCCATCTTCAGCATATGAATGAACCATAATGTCAATTTTATTCAGTTTGTGAATTCAGACTAGGACTGTAGCCCCTTGTATCCACCTGATAGCAGGTAGAACGATCAGGAACTGTAAGGTTTGGTGTATTTCTTGTCCTGCAGGCTCTCTCACTGGAAGTCTTAACGCAGTTAAGAGCTATCCATCTTCCTCTTATGCAAGTGGTACAACACCTGAGAATGAAATTTTCATCTTCCATTAAACTTCCAAGGAAGTCTGATAGGGGGAAGATATATTCTACATTTCAGAAAGGTCTTCAGTCTTTGGATGAACCTGGGTTGGGACAATTTCATATTGTATCTAACTGAGGTCAGATTGTCTTCTTGCAAGCTAGAGATAGCTAGAGACACTGGCCTTGGAGGGATTTAAGAAAAGGATTTGGGTAAAACAGAAATAATGTCAGTTGGTCTTAAACAGTATCATATTTATTTCCTTCGTACAGAGTCATATGAGTTTTGTCCCCATTTGTGCTGTTCTGACTGCATAATAAGAATTTCAGGGAGAATACAGATGAATTGAACTTGTCAAATTGAAAATGTTTTGAGTTTATCATCTCTTAACATAATGAATGTTCAAATAAAATTCTAGGTTAAAATATTATTTTCCATTGATATCCTCCTGATAAATGAAATATATCAAATATATCAAGCTAAAACATACTACTCTGATTCGGGAAGGTTTATACACTGATTGCAATTCCATATTCAATATGAGTCAAAAAAATGCATCCTTTTCAAAATCTTTTATTAATATTGGTTTCTTACTTTCCACTTATATGTCTTAAGCTACACTGTTTAGAAATGTGTTTAGTATATGAATGGCATGTTACTTACAGATGGTTTGCCCTGTTTGTGTTGAAAATGATACAAAAGATATGAATGGATCCAAAGCTGGCTTATGTTTACCTTCAACTTTGGTATGTAAGTATTTTTTTTCTAAACATAAATGCATTTAAATATGTTCTGAAGTAAATAGTGACAGCATTTTTGACAATTTTGTGCATAAGATAAGACTCCTATATATCCAAGAGTCAACATTTATCTTTATACAATTGAAGATAGTTTCAGAAGGAGTTTCTTAATGTCATGCAATGACTTGCTGCAGAGACAGATATAGGCAATTTCCTGTTTTTCTACAATATGAATTGTGATTAGTTAAATGAATTTTATATGATTGTAATATTTAATGTATTCAAGTCTTTTGTTTTTTTTGTCAAATGCATGCAATAACAAATATTTGTGTAAAGCAAGACATATTTAGTTTTAAACCAATTTAATTTTAAAAAATAAATAAACCTTTGTGTTTGCAATATGAACATGAACTGAATTAACATTGCCCCACTGAGTAGCAAGAACAATATAAGCCTAATTCATCTAATACTAAAATAAATGGAGAGACCACAGTGATGTAAATGAGAAATGAATGGGATTCTAAAGTAGTGAAGAGTACAGCTGTCCAACCCATAATGGTTTATCTGGTCTTGCTTCTTTTTAAGCCTAATATGTCAATCTCAGTGGGTGGATTATCAAATTACTTCAGGGGAGGGAGAATTATACACCTAATTTGTGAGCACAGATATAATCTTTATGAGAAATATATGTCTCTCAACTGGGATTATTGTTTGAAATTCTGACATCTAACACAATGTGAACATAAAGGTCTAAGTAAAGAATATGGGAGCATAAGATATTGTTCAAACTGCTATTGGTAATTAAGAAAAAGATACCAAGGTTACAAAAATAGTTCAAGCTTTCCATTTTAACTATCAATTCACATAAAGTCAATAAAGAACAATTTTGAGTGAAAAGCATCCTGAAATGTCTCTTTTCATTCTCTAAACAAGTCTCTGCAGCAGGAAAATATATTGTCTATTCTTTGAAAAAGTTAAAATATTTTAAAAGAATATTACTTTTCATAAAAATAAAAATGATTAGAATTATGGATAATAATAGTCAACAACGGCAGTCAAATTCACTGTATCCATGATTACATGACCTTCACTAAATTACTGAACTGACCTGACTAAAACTAAACCTTTCTTAAGGTCATAGAAATGTGCCTTACTTATGTCCTAAGAAATTGCTGGTCATATTTTTACATAAATAGATACATACAGAGAGAATTTCTGTAAATATGCATGCAAATATTCAATTACTCATACTCACCTTTTAGCTTAGTGCTAAAAAGGCATGTATGAAGCAATTCCAGTTCTTAAAACTCAGTGGAAATACCTTTCAGTTTTGCTCTTCTTCTTCTTTTTTTTTTTTTTTTACGAGAACTCATTAGTAAGCTAAGCATCAGAAATGTGCACGTCTCTTTTCTGTAGTCTATAGTATTCTAGTGTTTCTTTGTTTTAAGAACAGTTTTAATTGTGTTTATTTTTAAAGGATTTTAGATGAACTTGACTAAATAACTAGAAAGCCAAGTTACAGTAAACCAGAAGCTTCTACTCATCCTTAATAAGAAAACTTTTATTCTCTAGTCCCCAGTGTATTCCCAGTCTATTAAAGAGCAGGAAGAAGACAAAGATCAATTTTCTAGACTTCCAAACACAACAAAAGTGGACATAGTTTGATGATGGTGAGTGTCGAATTTTTGATGCATCATAACCTACCCTGCAGTTTAAGTATTAATTTCTGTTTTTATATACTTATACATGATCGTATTTTCCAGATATCTTTTTCTTGTAAAACTTGAAATTTGATGTATTGTCATCTCTTCCCATGAGAAAACAGATTAGGCAGATATAAACAGATAGGCAGTTTAATAGTTACTTTTGTGGCAAGCTCTAGCTGTTGTCTTTCGTGTTTGGAAAATGCCTCTGCCAGAGGAGTCACTTCTTGTGAAGGATGATTTTGTGTGCCTGACTGAGGTTTGCAGGCTGTTTTTTCTTTCCTTCCTTTTCTCCTTTTATTTTTTTTTTTGTCCTTTTCCCTTTTTCTCTCAAAAATATGACAGATCATCTGTGTGAAAGGACTTCTGAACTGCCTTCTTCCTTTCCTCCTTTCCTCAGCCTTGGATACATACAGAAGACTTCTGGTCTGTGAGACTGGTCTGAAGAGTTTCTTGGTTGGCTGTTGGCTTCTTTCTGCCACCACTACTACAATAATTTTCACATTTTTTCACAGATGATGAACAGAGGAAGACCAGAGCCTGTGATGGTCCAAGTGTAGCCTCTGAATCATCCCATACTGAGGAGTCAGATATTATTTTAGAAGTCTGCAATATTCTGGTTAACAAAGTCTCAGTGGAAGAGAGAAGCCATGGGGCTTCAAACTAAGCATAGCAAAACATAACGTAATTGCATCTCAGCATGATCAAGAACCCATGGGCAATCTTCTCAATTCTCCTTTAACAAACCAGAGGCATGTTTCAGTTTGCAGAATAGTAATATGGACTTATTTTAATTCTTCAGACCTATTGCTCCTACCAAATATTGGCTGAATGAAGAAAAAAATGTGTTTTGTTTTTTTTTTTAAAGATACTGAAAGGTGGTTAGCTGAATTGTGACTGTTTAAATAGAAAGAAACTGCTTTTTCAGCCACGAGGTTATTGATTTTTTGCTAGTGGTTTGAAAGAGTTGTTGCTATCTTCAGAGGGACAACATGGAGCACAAAGGAAAAGACTGAGACTGAGAATGTTCTTATTTCTGAAATACTTCAGCAATTAACTTTTCCTTTACAAGGCCGGCTTGTCTGCTCATTCTGTTATGATGTTCAGTAGTTATGATATTTGAAGCTATTTATACCACACGTGGATATTTGTAAATGCCTGCTCTAAGCTATGTGAGACCTCCTACATACCAAGGTCAAAAGCCGAGCCCAGGTTACTTTTGGAACTTGTTGGAGCACACCAGGTGACTGACTAGGGTAGAGGACAGACTGATCCCACTGTGCATAGGACCTATCTCCATCATGACAGCAGCCTAGAGAATAGGATGCTAGTGTGCCTTGCTCTGACTTAGCTTTAAGAAGCATACTGTTTTTCACTGATTAGCAGTGGGAAATGTTCCTGTAGTCTGAATTCTTTCACTGGAAAATGCTTCTCATGTCTGAGAAACTGAGTTTCTGCCTGACATCCCAGGGACTGGTTTCCTTTGATATTGTAATGTGTTTTGGTTTCAGCACTTTTAAAACATAATAACAATAACAATAATAATAATATACATTAGTAAGCTAAGCAAGAATATTCATAGCAGCATCAATTATACTGACAGGAAAATATTCCCTAAACTGATACTTGAAAATGATAGAAACATAGTTGAAATGATTTCTTGAATTCAGCTATGAGAAGGAATATATTGAAAACTGACCCAAAAAAAAGATTTTTCTGACACAGAGATAGTGATGTTTTGTCTTTGGCATGCAGGTTGATATCTTTCTCAGGGATAGTTGATGAGATTGTAAAATGTAACATTTGCATGCATTATTGAAACTCTACAAAAATAATTGCTCTAATTACCAATGCTCTATAAAGTCATTCTAGTTACGAAGTCGTACAGGTGGGTGATGTCTGCATTGCAAGTTCTCCTTAATGAGGGCATGGGATACTCTAAAGGAATCCTTGACATTTTGCATGACTCTTCTGCCCTGTAAGGTATCTTCTTGACAACTGATAAACTCTGTGCTGAATAGTCTGGTAACCAGCCTCTTCCATGCTTCCATATCCACATGAATTATTAGGTGTCTAGTCTGTTTGCTGTATGGATTTTCTGTTTGTCCTCTTGTCATGGCTGCTGCTGCTGCTGGAATGAACAAGACAAAAAAAAGTATTAAGAAAATGAAATGTTTTTAAGAAAAAAACAGCACCCTGTGCCTTGACTCTTTTCAGCTTATAATATTGACCTACGTAGCTTCAATTGCAAGATATGCTTGTAAAATAGCTTATCTTTCCTCACTTTGGAGATTATTACCACAGAGTTCCTGTGAAGATGTTGAACATTCAGCTGTCACAGTGTGTACAGAGAGAAATCAAGGGATGTAAGTGGCTTCTTTACAGCATGACTCGTTTCTACTTACATTACTGCTGTATATGGTGCTGCATATAGGAGGACAGTCCCAGAGTCCTTATTCAGTACTGACTGCATGAGCTTTCTCTGGATATATGGAATTTTAAGAGGGATACTGCTTGGAGTCGTAAACTATATGAATGTACCCATCAAAAGAAGAAAGTTGTCAAAAACTATTTGTCTTTGGTTGAGTTTCTTACACATGCAACCTGCCCTGCTACCTCACCTTCTCAGTTACCTGAGGACTTTTCAAGAAAAAAAATAAAAAAATGCAAGCCAAGGAAGAGGAAAGGCCTTCCCTGCATTCCCAGTCTTCAGTCCTGTCTTAAAGAACAACAGAAATAAATAAAAGACAGTCAGAAAATAGAGGTTAAATTGAAATAAGCTTTTGAAAGCACAAACATATTAGAAAGTCTGTCCATAACTGGGCAAGGGTTTAATTCCCCAATAATAGAATTTGCTCAACATGCTTCAAATCATCTGATCAGATGTTCAAAGAGTACATCTAGTAAGCTCCAAACTGAAAATATGAGGTTTGAGCTTTCCAAGGAAATATGCATGGAACATGGCAACACCAGTTCAAGACAAGAATGTCTGTATAGTCCGAACATATATACATATATATAAAATTATCTTTATGTCAAGGTTTGAACAAGATAAAATTTCTTTCTGAAATACTGAAGCCCTCGTAACTGGTGCAAACACAGAGAAAGCTTCAGATATATGATTCCTATATAAAAATCCCCGATTGATTTTATTGCAAGTTGTCAACTCATGGAAAGATTATTGACATCAGCTTTAAACTTTTAGTTAGTCAAAAGAATGTGAATTTCTTTTCTAAAATAATGAAATACATAGTTTTGGTGACTCTGACAAACAGTATGGAAGTGAGAGCAGTTTCAGTGCCACATGTCAAAGCATCGGTAAAATCATTTGGTTGTATCCTCATAGTTGTGTATAAGACCAGTGAATACTGAGGTAGAATTAATTGCAGTAAATCTCAGGTAAGTTCATTGTTTGGAACTTAATGTGTTTGGGAAATTGTTCTTTAAACAAGTCAATAACACAATGCTTTAGTGCATAATTTTTGCTGTGAATAAGTTTGATGACATTTTATGAAACACATTACTTCATAAGCAAAGGTGTGAAAGAACAGTGGCTTAGGAATGAATGACAATCTAAAAAATGTAAATTTTAGGAAGAGAATTGTTTCTTTTACCTATTGTTCAAGTTCCTGAATTTGAGATTCAAATGCTGCATCAGTTCCCCTAATTGTCTGCCTCCATATACAAATTTAATAATACAGTAGAATTTATCATACAATTAATTGTCACTTCATTAGCTTCAACAGAGATCCTTTATTTCCATACAAATGCATTTTTGTTTAAAATTTATGATGTCTAAAGATAAACATTTTTTAAAGTAACAAAATCTTTAACATCCTGTTAAAATAAGTATTTTAGATCAGATATAAGGAAGAAATCCTTTACTGTGAGGCACTGGCACAGAAGCTGTGGATACCCCATCCCTGGAGGTGCTCAAGGCCAGGCTGGATGGGGCTTTGGGCAACCTGGTCTGGTGGGAGGTGTCCCTGCCCATGGCAGGGCATTGGAACCGGGTGATCTCGAAGATCCCTTCCAACCCAAACCGTTCTGTGATTCTGTGATTTCATAAACACTCAGGAGAGGTATTAGACCTCCTTATCCTAGACAGGTTCCAGCACACACACCTTTCTTCACCTCACTCACATCATTTTCTCTTTCAAACAGAATCATTTCAATTCTTCACTACTCTAGCAAACCAGTTACAACTCCAAGCGGTAAGCACAACCTCTCTAGCCACACCAACAGCTTTTGTGCTCCACGGGAGGGATTGTTCCAGGGCGGCGATTGCTCTGACACGGAGCAGCAGGCACCTGGGGGCCGGTCCCCCCGGCGTGCTGGGAGCGGGGCGCCCCGGGCGCGGCGATGCCGGCGGTGCCGGCACCAGGCACACGCCTGCTTTCTGCTTTTTTTTTTTTCCTCCCCCCAGTTCCCAAAAGGGTACAAAATGCTGCCTGCAGAGGTTTGCAGCGGTGTTATTCAAATGACCAGGCGGCGTCCAACAGCTCGCCCCCGCTCATCCAGCTGCGCGCTTCTGCCTGCTCATGGCTCGGTGCCCTCTCCTGGGGACGAGGATGGGGCCGAGGGTTTTGTCTGCTTTTAACCTCAGCCCCTCTGTAATGTCTGAGCACGGACAGAAAGGTATTGGGAACGTACACATTTCAGCATTAACAAAACGCGCCCGTAACCCCGGTGCATTTGGGGCAGAAAACACTAAATGTCCGCGCCTAGAGGCATTTCCCAGCAACCGAGGGGACCCGTCCCGGGTCCAGGATCCCCCGGAGAGCTTGAGCAAAGTGAACAAGCCCCACGGAGGTCGGTCATGTCTGTACAGGACAATCTGCACTCACCCACCTCACCCAGGTGCACTTCGCTGGAGGTGGCTGTTAACTAGAGCTGGGGGGAAACACCGAAACACCTGCAAAGCGTATTTCAGCCAAACTGCTCACTAAATCTTCCTCTAAAGTTGATGGTGCATCATTTATACGTGGCACATAGATCATAAGATGGTGCGTAAAGATCAGCCTGGAGGACCGACCAGAGGAAGAGCGCAACGCTGGGAGGCAAAGCTTTGCCACAATATTTGCTCTCGTCGCTCTTGTTTGAAGCTGGTAAACCTGCACACCTCCAAACATCTATGCTTGCCATTGTACAGCATCCGCTGCTGTTGATTTGTATGTACTCAGGGAGATTTTTCTCACAGTCCGGTGTTTGCATCTATTGACTTTGTAATCTGTAGACCGGCTCTTAATGAGCAGAAAAGACAAGAAGCTCCGAGATAAAACCCCAGAATAACAGGGAGCCTTTACAGCTTGTCAGCGGGAGAAAGCTCAAACATCGATATCTGATTTACAGGAGTAACACAACTTATTTTGATAGATTGCACTGTTGCTGCTTCAAATTACTCTGTCAATCGAGGAAGAAGAGGTTAAGGGGTCATATTTTTAAAAAATGCTTGAAAGGGCTCTTTCAAGGGATTTTTTCCCGTCAATTTCGACCCCACATTTAATTAGTTAGTTGTGAGGGCGCACAGGCTCTACTTTGCCCGGCAAAGATGCTGATTTTGTTAAACTCAGTTTGCGAAGCGCCTGAAATGGGCAGGACCGGGGCGAAGGTCCCCTCCTGGCAGGGGGACCTCACCACCATCGCCTCCCCCTCTGCTCGGTTCCCCCGTGGCCGAGGCTTTGTTTGCCGGTGCTCCGGGAGCAGGGGACGGGGAAAACGGCACCGGCTTGCCAGCAGAAGCGAGGTCAAGTTCGAGCACCGCGGTTTTTTGTTTTGAGGGATTTTTTTTCTTTTTTGAGACCGTTGAAAATTATCCATCGTGAGCGGAGGAAAACGCAGAGATCCTACTCAAGAAGTTTAAAACGTGGCAAAAAAAAAAAAATATATATATATATATATATATATATATTATTATTATTATCCTTTTGGTCGTAGTGGGGCTTTCCTCCCCGCTCAAGCATCACCAGCACCCTCGTGGGAGCTGCACGCCGGGGGCGAACCTTGCAGCTTCTCCCTAATCTGGAGGGGGTGCGGGGTCCCCCGGCGGCCAGCGGCGGTCCCACGAGGGACAGAGCCGCGGGTGGGGTCTCAGTCGCCCGTGGGAGCCGGGAGCCGGCCCCGAGGGGCTTCGGAGCGGCCGGAGCGCGGCGCTGCCCGTCCCGTCGGGGCTGCTCCGTCCCCGGGCAGCCGGCAGCTAGAATAAATTACAAGCCCGCGTTTAACGTTAGTGACTCTTTAAATGGAATTTTTCATTCAAAGTTCGTCATTAAAATAGAAAGGCCTTTTGGCTGTGACCATACAAGCATAGTAAATTGTATATGTTTGCGATACTGAATGAATCTTGCCCATATGCTGCGCTGCAAGGCTACATGAATGAAGCATTTACCAAATCAGGCCCACCACATTAAACAGAAAAACAATCTTTATTCATGGTAACTTATCAGTTTCAATTAATCAACCTCGACAATAGAAATTCTGATGTGTTCAAGCAACTTGAAAGCAATAGGTCATCTCCAGGGCAGCCATGTTGTGTCTTTGTGCCTATGGCTTCAAACAAAGCCCCATCCCCGAGAAATGTACATCCCCGCTCACATATGTGTGCCTAGATGTGTACAAACATCTCGGCACGCCGAGGGCTGCCGCGTTCCCTAACGGGACCTATGTAGAGTGTTTATCTTTTTGTCCTACCAAAAGGAAAAAAAAAAAAAAAAGTAATTGTTTTCTAGTATTTTTTGAGCTCTGCGAGTTTAAACAAAAGAAAAGAAATTTCCATTGGATGACCATCCTTTCAGTTTCTCTGCTGCTATGTGAATAGCATTGTGCAAACCATTCCAATGGTATTGAAAAGGGGTAACCATTGGTTTGATTTGGTTACACGGTTTCGTAAAGAGCTCCCTCCCACTGCCTTAGGGTCTGTGAAAGGTCTGTGACCTGTTTAGAACTGCCAAGTGAAATGTCATGTCGCCCCTCCCAAATGGGAGTATCTGCATTCATTTGATCAGTATAAAAAATGATTGGGGATGGCGAGATCAGGGCTTTTGAATTGCAATTTATAGCAGTTTACAAAAATGCACATTGTTGGAAAAGAAAACATGGAAGTGTTTCGTTCTAAATTGCATTACCTGTGAAATGTCATTAGTCTTTTTAGGATATCGCGTCCTATTTTTTATGATCTCGGAGAGAGACTTAAATGCCCCAAGTTCGGTGTTTGCAGGAGATAAGAGCGCACACTGTGCTGCCCACGGCTGGGCACCTTCCTTTCCTGAGCGGCTGCTGGAGGAGGACCTGCTCCTTCTCCAGCTCCTGCTCCTTCTCCAGGACCTTCCCCTTCTCCAGGAGCTTCTCCCTGGCGGTGCGGCGGTCCCCGAGGGCTCCTGGTCTCAACACAGCCCCGCTGCTTTGCAGGAGGGCGGCCGGACCGTGCCGGGCTCAGCATCCTCCTGCCTCCCGTTGAGCGCTTTGACCGCCGCCTCCTTGTCCGCAGACGGCTGCAGTGAACGCTTTAATTTGTTGCTCTTGCAACTGCCTCCGCCGCCCCGCACCTTGAAAAACGAAGCAGGGGGGGAACGGTTACACTTAGTTTAAGCTATCCGCCCTTGAATTTGTCACCGCTCGCACGCCATTTACCCCGAGGGGCTGCGCCCTTTGTGCGCCCGCCGGCGAGCCCGGTGGCCGAGGGGCGGGCACGGCGGTGCCGAGGCGGCCGTCGGGGGGTCCCCGCCGGGCCCGTTCCCCACAATCTGCGCCTCGATCGGCCCCGCACCCCCGGCAGGACCCGGACGGGTCGTCAGAAATGGGAAAGGGCCCAGAGTGAGGGGGGTCAGCGGTGGCGGCGGGCGCGCGGGCAGGACCCCACGCGGTGTTCCCAAACGGCAAGGGAAGTTCCCCAGGTCTGCCCCGGCCCCTTCGGGTGTTTTTGGGTCGCCTCCCCCCTCGCCATCTCCCCCCAGCACCCGGCAGGGCAAGAGGTGGCTGCGGGCCCCCCCCACGCCCTGCCCTCGGGGCCGCTGCGTCGCGGCCTCGGGCCTCGCCTGGCTCTCCCTGGAGGTCGCTTCCCCGGCCTTTGCTCTTTCCAGGAGCAAAACTTCTCTGGCCCGAAGACGAGACCTCGATAAAAGCTGCCCCCGCCTTGCTGGGAACCTCTAGCAGCATGTCCGTCCGTCCGTCCGTCCGTCCTCGGGCTGCTCCGGACCCTGCGGGTGAGGGGAGCGAGGAGGTGTCGGAGCCGGTGCCGGGCTAAATCCCGACCCTATTTCCACGGCCGTGTTTTGGGGGGCCTGCCTGAGACGCCCTTTGTAGCTGTCGCCCACGGCTGAAGCGTTCAAACCGGGCGGATAAATTATTAGAGGAGTAAAAGACCTGAACGGCTTAATTGGGAAAAGCAGTCCTGGTTCCAACCAATGTCCGTACAATTGCACACTGCAGTCCACCATTATTCGAGCTTCATCTACTATGCACTATGTACCACCGTCTCCAAAGGATTGTTGCCCTAGAAACTTGTTTTAAATCTCCAGCTATATATCAACACCTTGTTTTAGCAGTCCTTGGCTGAATTACAGTTACACAGTTTGGCGCTTCTTTCAAATTTCCTCCCATCAGTTTGGCCAAAGAAAGGAATTTTTCTCCTTTAGAAATGAATTGGCTTAATTAGTAAGTAGATTAATGGCAATTGCTGGTGAGTTGGTTTCCAGCAGAGTTTCACCAGAGAGGGTTAATCGGAGTCAGGTCTGGAATCTTTCC